GGGCACAAGCCAGGCCGAGGACCCCACTGGTGCACGATCGGGGCCAGGGAGGAATGTGGGAGGTTGGCCAGCCAGGGAGGGACCACGGGAGAGCTCCAGGGTGTATCCGGCCCATCTCGCTCAGTCCCAATTGGCCGGACCCCAGCAGCAAGCTAACCTACTGATTGGAGAATCTGCCCCCTGGTGGTCAGTGCACATCATAGCGACTGGTTGACCCGTTGACTGTCTGCACCCTGGTGGTCAGTGCACATCATAGCAAGCAGTTGAGCATCCTTAGCATATCATTAGAATATTACGCTTTGATTGGTTGAATGGCCAACCAGTCAACCAAACACTTAGCATATTAGGCTTTTATAATATAGGATTTCAGTTAGTATATGCTTTGTTTCTGACTGGTCTTTTTCCATGTCTTTGACATTCTCACAAGATCCTTGAAAATCTCACTAAGTCCCTTGAAGCTCTTATTAATTCCTTGAAGCTCTCATTAAGTCCCTTATAGCTTTCATTAAGACCCTTGAGTAACCTTACAACCATTGTTTTGAACTCTGTATCCAATATTTTGCTTGCTTCCATTTCTTTAATTTGTGACATGTTTCTTTGTCTCTGCCTTTTGGCTGTTTCTATGTATTTCTAGGTAGAGCTGCTATGTTTTCTGGAATTGGTAGAGTGGCCTTGTGTATTAGTGGCTCAGCCTCCTGTCACCTGAGTTAGGCACTCTAAGTGTGCCCCTATGTGGGCTGTGTGCACAGTCTTGCTGTAGTTGAAACTTGATTGCTGTTGGCATCACTGGGAGGAATTGACCTCCAGGCCAACTGGATGTGAGGACCAGTTGTGACTACAGTAGGAGAGCTGCTGTGCAGGAGAAACCCCTATGGAGCAGGACTTGCTTTAATGGGGCCTTGGTGCCTTGAGTGTGGATGTGTAAAGTTGCAACCTGGTATGGTCTGAAGCTTCCCAATGGATGTACTGGCTCTGGTACATCCCAGGAGGTGCAAAGTCAGCCACTGCCTGGGGCCACCTTGCAGGAGCTATAGAGAGATATGTAGATGGCTGCTACCTGTATTGGGGTAGGAAGTGTCCAGGCAAGGCCCAGCTGTGAAGCAAGGCAGGCTACTGCTAGTGCCTAGTTCTGGGCCTTTATTGATAGGTTTGATGCCAGCTGCTGCTTGTTTGAGAGATTTTAGAAAAGTCTGAAGTCTGAGCTAGGACAGGCCATTCATATGGAAAAGCCGCTGCAAACAGCTTGGGTGTGGTTGCAAATTAGATGCGATGGGATCTCAGGGAATCACAAGAGTGAACAGTGTGAGCCACACTGATGGAAATTCAGATATGGCTGCCAGTCAGCTCTGTGATGGTGGAGGTCCCAGCACAGGAACAATGAATCCTGTGAGTACCCCTATGTGGGAGAAAGCCACCCCTAAGTTCCTGTCCTGATACCAGATAGTTCAGTTCCTCCCCGGATGTCCCTGGATTCTCCCAATGTCGCCGTTCAGCTCTGGAGCTCAGAGGAAGCAGGATCATGTAAGTTTGTGCTCTGGCCCTTTAAGAGGAACACTTGGGACTCCAGCAGCTTCCGTGTCACTCAACCACAATATTTACTGGTTTTTATAGTCCAAAGTTACAGGGACTTCTCTTCCCAGCTCTGGAACCCTGGGCTATGGGCTGGTGTGGGGCTGGGACCCTCTGCTTCTCACAGGAGGGCTTGGAGATATCCCTCCCAACTAAAAAAACACCACACATTGGTGTGGGACTAGCCCCTCCTGTGCCTCCACCCATCCTACCAATCTTGATGTACTTTCTTCTTTACTTCTCTAGTTGTAGGCCTTCCATTCAGCCAGATTTCAGGCAGTTCTGTATTTTAGTTGTAATTTTGATGTCATTACATAGAAGGGTACGGTCTTTTTTTTTTTTAGTTTTATTCATTTCAAATTCAGTTATCTTTTACTAAATAATACACCATCCCTGGACTAGCCCCTCCTGTGCCTCCACCCATCCTACCAATCTTGATGTACTTTCTTCTTTACTTCTCTAGTTGTAGGCCTTCCATTCAGCCAGATTTCAGGCAGTTCTGTATTTTAGTTGTAATTTTGATGTGGTTGTAGGAGGCAGCAAGTACCAGCATTTATCTATGCCGCCATCTTGGTTCTCTGTTTCAGTTATCTTTTACTAAATAATACACCATCCCAAAACTCAGTGGCTTAAAACAATGTTATATCTCTCAGTCCTGTGTTTTGACTGGACTCAGCTGGGATTACTCATCAGGTGACAGGCACTGGGGGAACTTAACTGGGGCTGAAACAGGCATAGCTCTCTGGGCCACTTCAGGTGGTCTCACTCTTCACCTAGTTTAGCCCAAGCCTCCAAGCCTCTATACCAGTGGTTCTCAA